TCGTCCACTTGAGTGTCGGGGCACTCGTCCACGGCCTTCGCCCGCGGAACTTGAGCATCTTCGCCTGCCATATGCAAATTATTCTTCAGCTAAAGCATGCTAGCTAGCAGCAAAAATATCATGGAAATCGTAACATATCGCACGACCGCACTGAATGACCGCCTTGGTCCAAACCCAAGGTGGAGGCTCCATCCGTCACCTGAATTCAGGTTTGGTTTAGGATTAGGGATTAGGGTTTAGGGTTTAGGGTTTAGGGTTTAGGGTTTAGGGTTTAGGGTTTAGGGTTTAGGGTTTAGGGTTTAGGGTTTAGGGTTTAGGGGTTTAGGTGTTTAGGGTTAGGGTTTAGGGTTTAGGGTTTAGGGTTTAGGGTTTAGGGTTTAGGGTTTAGGGTTTAGGGTTTAGGGTTTAGGGTTTAGGGTTTAGGGTTTAGGGTTTAGGGTTTAGGGTTTAGGGTTTAGGGTTTAGGGTTTACCACATGGCATGAAACACATGTTGTGTATATATATATGTGCTTGCAAGGAACAGGACTGTCCTGCAGCTCTTTTTTGACTTCACGAAGTCGTTGTCTCAGCTGCGCCTGCACATTGTATATGTGAACATGCTAAGTACAGGGAACTAGTACATAGGATAACTCGCTAGCCTGATCATCAAGATCACGATCCAAGGCTTCCAGGCCGGCCATCAACGTGGAACACGACCTTTGGAGATATATATATGTTCTAGGTGGCACCCTGTTTTCATTCCTCAGAGTCACACGACACCATGCTGACAGCACAAAAGTCAAGCCCCGCACCCTTGGGAGTCAAGTCGAGACATGACTACCCCCTCATTGAGCTTCGGAAAATCTTGCAGGAAGATCAAGATATCGAAAGAATGATCCATGGAAATATTGATTGAAGAGCCAACATACCGGGCGTACGGACTTTGTACGGGTGCTGTGTTGTGGCTATATAAGCGTCGTACGGGTTCGTATGGGTTCCGTACGGGTTTTGTACGGGTAGTTTTGTTGTTCTGACAACATGCATATGACGAAGTTGTTGTAAATATTTTCATGACAACACTTATCGCGGTGAACCTTTCGGATAAGTTCCGCAATTTTTTTGTTTTTGTGATACATATGTTCCCCTGCAAAGTTGTTTTGGCCTGCTAGGGCCATTGATTTGCAACTCCACAACACCAGTAGGGTTAAGGAATCACTTGAGGACCGTAGGGTACAAGCTAGAGATCAACGACACACAAGCTAATGCACACTGACATCTAGGAATTTCACCACGACATGAAGCAACACCCAGAACTACCCGTACAAAACCCGTACGGAACCCGTACGACCCCCACAGCTTACCCGTACAAAACCCGTACGTAACCCGTACGTTCGACTTTGCTATGGATATAGGATTCTATGGTTATTTCCTTAATGTTTTCAAGTATTTCGCGATGGTGTGGAATTGATACGGCAGCAGCCAACACCCAAAACCATCCGTACAAAACCCGCACGGAACCCGTACAAACTCACAGCTTACCAAGACAAAACCCATACATATATAACCTTTAATATTCTACGTTAAACCGGGATGGAAGCTGAAGCATCGAAAAGTACAGGGGAATTAATTCACACGGCAGCACGCCACACCGAAAAGTACCCGTACAAAACCCGTACGGAACGCGTACGAACCCTTACCTAACCCATACATACAAAACCAAAAGCAACCATATATATATATATATGTAAACATATATAGACAGAGACAGAGAGTAAACGAGCAATGGAAGCTAAGGCATCCTGGTATATATATATATATATATATATATATATTTATATACACATGCACACAGAGAACATATGAGTATGATTCACGGCAGCAGGCGACACCCAAAGCCGCCGTACAAAACCCGTACGAAGCCGCACCTTACCCGTACAAACCCCATGCATGTGTAACCTCGAATCAGAATTATTGTTACTACCCCAAACGGAATGGAAGCTAAAGCATCCTGAGACAAGGTAGGCTGGGGATGCGTTTTTACATAATATGTGTGGTCCTTCCTTCCGAAACATTGCAAGCGACACGTGTCACAAAAATCACGAGACACCCCTGTACCAGTCGACATCAAACGGAATGGAAGCTAAAGCATCCTGAGACAAGGCAGGCTGGGGATGTGTTGTTTAAGGCGGTGCTTCCTAGCTGGCAACCGACAATGCAAGAATCGCTACGGCCCGAAACTACAGGCCTGTTTGTATCATATGGTGTTGCTGCCCTATATGTTCCGGGATCCGGGACATACTAGCTGTTTGTGCGTCAATTGATCGTGGGATTGAATGAGTTTGGTTTTGGCGTGTGGCCGACAGTCGCAAAGCAACTTTCAATACACCGGTGGTGCAACCAAGAAGTCTCTAGTCGATCCATAGCAGCAAACCATTGTTTCTTCTGTCGCATATTATCCACAACCTTCCGGGGGTTTGTTTGTTGGTACACTGGTGCATTGAATTGCCTCGGAGAATAACTGAATATTGAAACCTATCTAGAAGAGGCCCACAATCCGGGCTCCAGGATCCGATACAAAGCGGCCTTTAGGGGTAAGTCGAGCGGTCAGGTAGACATACCACACACGGACAATGGTTTTGGGCGCACATACACCAAGGCGGGATCCAAGCCAAGAGCCGCAACATAGCCAAACGGAAAACACCAACAAACACACATGGACATGTCATGTGAGACTGATTCATAGAATCAAATTTTCTATGAACCAGTTGCTCAGTGCTTGTCATGTCAAAACTGATTCATAGACAGAGTTTGTCTATGAATCAGTTGTTCCCATGCATCTTCCAATGCATTCTTGGAAGCTGCAAGAATGCATTGGCTGGATGGCACAAATGCAAGGATGTGCATGTACGTATATGCACATATGTATGTATGTATGTATATATGTATAGTATGTATAGTATGTATAGTATATGTATGATATATGTGTGCATGCATGTGTATGGGTGTATATATGTATATGCACATGTATACATACATATATATATATATATATACATATATACATGTATATGTATGTTTTTGCCGACTTGTACGTTGCTCCAGCTGTCGACCCGAGGCTACAAGCCTTGGAGGCCTGATGTTGTTATGAGCATTGGGGCCTTCGGGTTTCAGACGTCTTTAGGAGTCTTAGGGCGAACCCGGGACCCCCGAACCAGACAAATAAGCCACGGAACCCAAGGATTTTAGGGCTAACCCTAAACCCGGGACCCCCCTTTGTAGCTGCGAAAAAGGTCGGATTATGAAGGTCGCTTTCGTAAATCCCAATTAAACCGGGAACCAGCAGAAGCGAGCATCATCAGCCGGGTTGGGGGCGGGCCCAAACCAAGCATCACGAGCATCTTTAGGATTCGGGCCGAGCCCTTGGCAGACCCACAACCTCCCGATTTGGACCTGTCGAAACGTCTCGGGAACCGCGGGCAGCGATGCTAATGGTTGGACCGCAAACCTGAACATCGCAGGTCTGCACACCTCGGGCTAACCACGATTCAGGGGTTAAGGCCTTCGCGTTACATATATGTGTGCATCTTTTTTTTACATACATACATATCTATGTGGATAGTTATAGATCTATAGATATGTAGGATAATAGGTAGGTTTGATGTACATGCATGCACATGAGCCTCATGTTGTCCTGCCTGCAATGCATGCATGTATGCTGCAAGCAGAACTCTCACAATGCAGCAGAGACATACTGGCAACTTTTGCATACGGCCACCTTGTATAGTCCTCCAGGATCTGATCAGACCCTCTCATAGATCTCAGCATCCTGTAGAAGCTTCCTGCTTTTTGGCATGGACAGGAGTAATCTTCGGAAGGCACGTACAGGTTTGTCAATTCATGTGGGAGCGAACAATTCGGTCCTGAATCCGGCGCCTGGCACCAGCATCCTGCGGCTCCTTGCCAGATACTTGGCCAGCCTATAAAGCTGAGCCTGAGATGCAGCCAAGAATCCAATCAAATTGCAAGAAATACCGATCGGCAAATTAATTGAGGTTAAGGCACGTCCAAGAAGGGGTCGTAAGCCTCCTCGTCCCAAAGATCCACTGTCCCATCAGCTTTGTAAAAGAGCTCAAACCTTAGACAGCAAGCACGGAAAATGCTGTAATGAGCCCTATATGTCGAAAGCACTCGACAGGCACAAGCTCGGATCCATGAACCGTCATACATAGTGGAGCGGAGGCACCCTGTGCATTCTTCTGCCATGCTGAAAGGACTCAACGGAATGCATCTCGGGGACGGCTCCTGCCGGGACACCAGCTGTCCAATCCTCTTTGCCAGTGCTGGCGGATATTTCCTTAAGTCCGGCTAGGCAGCTGACAACACTCCAAGAGAATCAAAGCACACAAGCATGCACATGTGATATAGCTTCTGCAAACACGAAAATTGTGCCGAGCATCTGTGTGCCTTTGAGGCTGGCCGATCCCGTAATTTTTCCATGGCGTCGAGTCACGGTCTTCGGGAGGCCCAGCTTCTGTCGCAGCTGTTCGCTCAGCTTCTTGCGGCGGAGTGTGAACGGCCGATAAAGTCCAGCGACCCACAACCTCAGATCACGAGTCTATGCATGGTTTGCCATGACACATGGTGCAACACAATGGATCCAGGAGCCTGTTGCTGTAGAACGAGCAGAGCTTCCAGGACCAGTGTCTGTAAGCGCCCAAGAAGCTGTTCACCTTGTAGTGCTCCCGCAGCGCCGCTTTCATAGCGGGATGCAAGCTCATCAAGCTGCTTGCGGGTTGCTCCAATATCCAAGATCCACCACACCAGTTGATAAGAAGCATCACCAGCGCAGTCCTGCAGCAAAACTTCAAATCAGCACAGCACCTTTCAAGCTCAGTTGCAGCACTCCTCGCAACCATTCGGTTTGCGTCTGCAACGTTTGGTAGCTCGGTGCGACCCAATGGATTATCATGACCTGGACAAAACAGAATTTAAATGGTGCCCGGGTGCAGGTTCCAACCTCTAGTTGCCGAAGAGCTGCTTCTCTGGGAGGTGTGGCGATTCATCCACACCCATGACGAACAAACCGGCTGGAGCATCGCGAACCTGCAAGACGCAGCTATTGCATTTGCAATATGGTTGCATTCGAACACCCAAGCGACCCACCTTGGCCCGGCTCGTTTCAAACTCAAAAAGCTCGCCAGGATGAGCCTTGGAAGACACGTGATCTCTGAAGTGTGCGTGCCTGTGTGTGTGTGTGTGCTGAATAGCACATATAAGAAAAGCGAGTTTGGGGCTTCCACGCAAAGCCGGCCGAGCTGTTGATGTCCATGGACGGGTGGTGCTCGATATCGTGGGCGGAGATGGCGTAGCCCAGTCCAACCAGTGCATCCTAGGCTCAAACCCGAGTCACGAGCTCGGTTGTATACATGCATCTGCAAATGGCCTTCACACGGCCTGACCCGCTGAACAGGTCAAGCCCGTCCCATTTCTCCATCGTCGGGATCTCCCTGTTCCACAACCTGAATCAAATTATGCTTGCAATATGTGCCATCCCGGATCACATCGATGTGCGAGCGCTCCGGGTGCTTGGGTTCGCACAGAAGGAGCAAACAAAGGATGCACAGCTTCGGGATCCCAAACTCCACCATGGACTGGATCATCAGGTGATAGGCACTGACTGTCCTAGCTGACAGGCAGTGGGCACTGTGTCTTCAGAGATCGCGAAACACAGACTGGAGCAACCCTCGGTCCTGAAGAGGGAGAAAACCACGAGGAGGCGGAACATGGTGACCAAATTTTTGGTGCGGTCAGACAACTAGGCTACCTCTACTTCCCATAGCAAGTGCACTTTAAGAAGCCTCCATGTACCTTCGCAAGAGCAAAATTAGATCTTAAGTGGACTTGTGCAAGGGCTTCGCACGACATGTTGAGCCTTTCTGCGACTGCACAATAACTTAACATGATGGCATGCACTGAGCAACAATGCAATCTGCGATCCGCACTTAAGGTGCACTGAGCCGTTCTGCGAGTGCACAACTTCACATGATGGCATGCACTCAGCAACAAAGCACTCTCTGATCCGCACTGCAAGGCAACACCGCTGACATGCACGGAGCCATATTGCGAAAGCAACAAAGAGCTAGGATTGGTCGCACCATTCTCTGAAGGCCGGCTCCGCTTCCTCGAAGAAGTGGAAGCAGCATCTGTAGAAGTACCTGGCGAGGATTCTGTTTTCAGATCACAGACAAACTAGCATGAAGTATGCATGTTCCCAGAAAGGCTATCCGCGAGCACGAAGTGATCTACGAGCGCAGAAGCTTCTTTTTTTGCCGTGTGCGGAAGCTTTGCAGCCCTAGTCCTTCTTTTGATCATACGGGACAGCATACAGTCCCACGAGGTCCTTGACACGGGTGTTGATGTCGTCATCAGTCACACAGACAGTCATGTCCATGTTTGCGACGGCATACTTCCACCAGTGCACCTTCAGGGTGGAGGGAGCAGATAAGAATTTTGGCAGACATCCACCCCCAGCCTGAGATTTCTGGTAGCAGCCAGGCTTGATCTGAGGATGGATGTGCCTGAGTTCGAGATTCAATCTTTTCCGATCCAGAAATGCATGCACTGCTTGCATTAAGCATGTTGAATCCAGGCAAGGATCTCGATCCACATGGCCTTGACAACAGCAAACCTGGTGCTCCATGGGGCCGTGTTGGGCGGGGTTCTGCCAGCAAAGTTGGTTCCTGCCGCCATTCCCGCCTTTTTCTTGCCCGCCGGGGGAGCACCCTCCCTCGCACCACCCACAGCCGCCGGAGCATCACCCTCCTCGGGCCGCCGTTCACCATCCTCGGCCTCTGGCGGCTCTGGCCCCCGTTCCCCATCATCGGGCTTTGCTGGAGCCGGATCAGCAGCCGCCTTCGGCTTGGCCTTGGCCTTTTGCGAAGGCTCCTTGGACGCAGCGACAAAGATACAAATTCAAGGCATGAGGCCAGGCAATCATGTTAAACCTCCGGAAGTTTGTTGCAGCCCCGCTGCTTGCGCCTGCGGGTGCAGGAAGGCTCGCTCCTCCTTTACATCAGCCTCCACACCACGGTCATGGATCTCCTCCTCGGAATCATCAATTGCCACGGGATCCTGGGTTTTCGACAAATGCAATCAAGCTGAGGGCTTCCAAAAACAATACAGGCCAATGAAGAATTACATAATAGAACTTTGGCCCGGCAAGCTGAACATGAAGCAACTGAAGCTCTTGTTTCTCAAGAAGCAAGCAGCGGCTCGACAGTATGGCAAGATTGCACATGGTCACAGAAACAAACAGCACAGGCATGCTGCCGCAGAAGCCACTGATATATGTATAATTCAAGATAAGCTGCATGACCAAAGAGTTCCGTGCAAAGCTTGCGGTAGTTCTCTCGTGCATCCTGCAGGGAAGAAATCCACGTCGCACTTTCAAATTCCCCCGCAAATAGAACTGGTCGCCCTGCGAGCCTGGATCTTGATCTTCTTGACATCTTGCCTCAGAGCCAAAGGCATGCATTGCCACTCCACTATGTTACTGGATCATTAGGACCAGCAGATACACACAAAGCTCATCCACCGCCGAGTCACGGATCCACGTCGTCCTCCTCGGCCGCCTCTGCCTGCTCTGCCCCCTGCTTGCCACGCGGGGGCGAAGGAAGGAGCCTCGAGTTTCAACACACGAAGATACAGCCAACGAAAAGCCTCTATGGCACTTGTGCCAGGGCACTTCTGCTTGAGGAGGTCCAACTTCGGGAAGTACGAGCTCCTGAACAGATGCGTGCATGTATGTTGCCAGATTTCCTGCCCGCTTCGAGTTAAGTCTGTGACATGCGACTCATCAGTTTCAGGCAAGAAGCGGCGAGCGATTTTTCAAGGCACGGAGGCGGGAGCAGGCCCGTCGAACCACGCTCGAAACAAGGGCTTGATCCAACCGACTGAGTCGTGGCGCAGCCAGGACAACCTGAGAGGTGCACCACGTACAAGCAATGGCACACCACACTTCATGTATGTGTGATAACTGCCAGCCATGGCTCTGCTTGATCGAAGATTCTCGGCGCTGGCGTCTTCGAGATGTTCAGCTGGCCTGAGTCCCAGCACGGAAATATGTTTCGACACTTTTCAGAATCTTTTCAGATCATGTGTGTCTATTATACATTGCCCTGTATCAACTGCCCAAGACCCGCACTGAATTTCTCGAACAAATTGTCCAACAATCCAACCATCATCGTATTGATGTAGTCCAACGGCAGAGACTCATCTGGATTGCTGAACCGACGGATGCCTTCGAAGATCGAGTCAGCACCTGAGGTTTAGGGTATCAGGATTTGGGAACTAAGTACATCTCGCAGCACTCCACTGCTGCCCAGAATCTGGTGGCTTCTTGCATCAGAGGCTTGAACTCGGCAGCGAGGGCCTCCACCTGTCAATGTCATCTCATACTGCATTTAAAGGCTTGCTTCAAATCAGGTTCTCCGGAGCTGCCTCGATGTCGTCAGCCGGGGCATCCGAGCCAGAAGCCGCCATGACCCCAGCCAAAGCTTTCTAAGCTAGCTTAGGCGCACGATCTGCAAAATTCTGCAAAGCTTGCATGTCCATCCAGAATTCACAGAATGTCAATATGGCAGCACACTGGAACCGTTTGGATATGTGTACATGCACATCTAACATTCCTGCACCGTGTTATTTTGTTCAAGTGTTTCCCTGTTTGCAGTTGTCACCTACTTATGCTTTGGCTTAGGGGGGGGAGCTACCGGTGCCACGAACACCTTGGGTGACGGTGGTGGGGGCGGTGGCAATCTCGCCGGCGGGGGAGGATTGATTTTGGCAAACCCGCTCGAGATCGGTTTGGCAGTCGATTTGACTTTCACCGCTGCACCAGCTCGAGCAGCAGCAGCAGTAGCAGCAGTAAGCTTCCCAGGCGGCACTGGCCTGCTCAGAAACTGCAGCCGCTTTGGTTTCTCGTGCCCATACAATCGCCCAGGCGGCAAAGCAGCTTTGTAAAGGTGCCTTTTCAAGCCTTCCCGAAGCTCGTTGTCGCTTTTGTCGCTTGGCGATCTCGATCTCGAACCGGCAGATCTCGAACGGGCAGATCTAGAGCGACTCGAGCGACGCGACTGACGCGACCTCGACCGAGACCTGGAACCGGCACTGGAACTGCGGCGCTGGGATTGGGATCGCTGGGCCGGACTGGTAGGGGTAGCCGAAGCCGACGCCGACCGCCCGCTACCGCCACCACCCTCCTTCCTACTCCTACCAGGCTCTTCCTCGGGATCCATGGCCTCGAGCCCGACACAGTCCACGGCCGGTAAACAAAGCTTCGTTTGGGGCCTCTTAAGTGCTCACACAGCAATCAAAAACGCACCCTTGCATGCGCACATGCACCACACTCGCTGATCTCACTCCAGCACTGCAAGCACAGCACAATTCAACAATGGAGGGGCACTGGGCTGTGGCAAAGCTTGCGTCAGCAGCTTCAGCCGCCGGCGGCTCCCCAGGACCATGACATGTTGACATGTTGCACATGCACTCCTTAGCCCTGCATGCAGTATTGTTCAGAATCTGTGTGTTTGCTCTGTTTGTGCATGCACTCCATACTGAACCAAGCTCTTAAGAATTGCCAAAAAAACCTCGGCATCCTAGATGCTTCTGATCTACAAAAGCCACGCTGAAATGGTGTTCAGGAACATTGATGGCCGCCCCTACAAGCTGAGACACAGACATGCCTGAAGATAACAATTCATGCGAAAGGACTGCGTGCATGCCCATGCTTGGATTTGAAACATTGGTTTCGCTAAACCAACATTTCAAAATCCATGAACACTTCACATGACTTGGAATTGAAACATTGGTTTCCTTCAACCAACATTTCAAAATCCATGAACCTTGGATCATGATTCATTCAATCATTGGTTTTGCAAAGACCAATCATTGAATTTTCCTTGCATGCTCATGACATGTTCGTGATAAATCGAAATTTTCTGCTATGTTCTTTCTACTTTACAAGATTTAAAAAAGAAAACGAACACTGGTTAGTCGTTCTTCGTTGACTCCCAGAAAAAAACTAACATTGTAAGTTTTTTGGGGGCGTTGCAACAGAAAAACCAACATTGTTAGTTTTTATGTTGAAAAACCTACAACGTAAGTGTTTTGAACAATGTAGGAAATTTTTTCCGACATCTGCGTCTCCAGGTTCCAGTGGTGCACGTTGACTAAGTCGGCGATGATTTCCCAACAGCGGCGATCAGCGGCATGGTAGTGGGACCTCGTAAGCTGGCGGCGGCCTCGTACTTGGTGAAGCAGATCCTCATGAAGCGTTTATTGTAAAGCTTCAGAGAGCCCAGATGTGCACCTTGACAGAGCGCAATGGCATTGGCAGCCAGTGACAGAAGCTGAGTGACGAGGCCAAAGGAAGCGGGGCCTTCATGTATGTCACGTGTAGGTGCCTCGTCCAGAAAAAGCTCTGTTAGGTCAAAGCGGGCCTGTTTCCTGGGCCGAACAAGGAGACTGTCTTCTTGAGCACGAGCGCTTAAGCGATACTTCCAAGGAATCCATCGCACCTCCTTGTCTGAAAGCATCTTATTGGTGAGGGCCAATAAGCGGGCGCTTGGAAAGCTCTCGGCGTCAAGAAGTTCAGTGGGGTAATCCTCCTCGAACCTCTTCCTAAGCGCCGCGGTTCGCTCCCCACTCAGCTTCGCAGGCCAAGCCTCTTGCCAGGAGCTGGAAAGCGGAGGCGTGGCCGGGGGCGCCGGGGTAGCAGCTGGAGGCCCGTCACCAAGCGGTGTGGTGGGAGTGGGAGCGGCTTCCAAGGATGCCATGCCCTCTGACGTTCGGCATTTGCAGAAGAGCAAGCGAAGCGAAGCTTTGGTGATAAAGCGCTCAGCGGCGTCAGTAACTGAGGCTTCCGCCAGAAAGTGGTTCACCAACTCTTCAAGCTCTGCCGAAGTGGTGCAGGACCGGGCAAACAAGGCAGCATCGAATGCTGAAAGCAAAGAAGAGACGGCTGCTGGCACATTGCAGTCGGCCACAAGTTGTGTGAAGTCAGACATCTTCGCTTGACCTGAGGCAGGTGCACATAATACCAGAAAGAAGCGGAGCAATGAAGCTGAGTGTGAAGCGTTGCCGGTGGTGGTCCTGCAGCAAGGAAACAGTTTACTGGGGCTAACAAGTGGGCATCTGTGGCCTGTGGCGTGGGAGCGAGGGCTACCCAGAGCGGGGGAGGCCGGAAATCTTTCTTGATCCAAGCGGGAAACAAGATTGAAAAGTGAGCCACAAGTTCAAAGCGTGAACTGTTCCAAAGAGGGCGGCACGTGGGCTTGCCGTCTTTTTCAAGCGGGAAGCGGAGCTCGAGTATGTCAGGCTTCGGAGAAGCCGGGCGCTTTATGCCCACAAGCCCAAGCGGGGCTGCCCTTGGTCTATATGGGCAAGCCCAAAAGTGGGCGATTCAATGCCGCAGCTGGCAGAAGCGTGGAGCGGGGGCTAAAGCGTCATTGATGCTGCCAGTTGCGGCCACTCCAGTTCCAGGATTTTTAAGCGGGTTGATCATCCCATCCGGACTGGTTCTGCCCCCACTCCTCATAGCCCTGGCTCCATTGTGAAGCGGCTTCCTGACGCTCTCTACCACGAGCCCTCTTGCAGTGTCTGCATAAGTGGGTGGTGTGGTAACTGTTGGAGCGGTCGCTAAAGGTAGCCTGGCAGTGTCCAAGCGAGCATTGGGAGCACTGCTTACGGCATGCCCAAAGCTGGACTAATTGAAGCGTGGGGTGCCCCTCACTGTCGTAGATAGTGATAGTGTGCCCCAAGCGGCTTGCTGGGGCATCGCTCGCCAGAAATGGGCCCTGTTGCCCGACGGAGTAGCCGTAGCCGTAGCCGTGGCTGAAGCAGGCGTTGGCGTAGTAGAAGCGGGCGTTGCCTGGCTCGCGGTGCCCGCACTGCCGTCGGTGGCCCCAGTCTCTGCAAGCGGAGGAGGTGGAGCTTTCTCCTTGGCCGCAGGAGGGGCGCTGGGAGTAGGTGCGGCCGGTGCACCCGATGCCGAAGCGGGCTTCGGCGGTGATGCCACACTCTTGGCCTTAAGCGGAGGGGAGGGCCAGTCGGAGCCGGGGTTGGAGAACTCGCCTTTGGTGAAGAGGGCGGCCGTGGCGGCGGTTCCTTCACCTCGGGTTCCCGCTGCCAGCGTTTTGCGTTGGCCACACCATCGCCTCCGCCACCAGTGGCGACGTTGCCCCCGGCGCCATCTGAAGCGGTCCCGGAAGCGGGTGCACCGCCGTCCTGGTCCTGGGTGTCCTCGGGCTGCTCCGCTGTAACAGAAGCGGGTGCAGCTTTGGCAGGAGGGGACGGTGAGGCCGCTGTCTCCACTGAAGGTAAGCTGTAATCCTCGGCGGCGATGTTTTCCCCTATGGGGTCTTCCATAAGTGCTGCGACGGGTTGCAAAGAAGCAAGTTGACAACGTGCCTGAACTGATGCAAGACAAATGCAGTGCAAACACGTCGGATGTTTTCAGAGCTGGCTGATATCAAGCTGCATCAAGCGAGGCCATGATGCAAGCCCGCCGCTTACATAAGCGGGAGTCGGGCGGAAAATGGACAAAAGGTGAAAATTCCGAGATGCATCCACAAGCGGGGTGGCATCGTACTGTGCAAGAAGTGTCCCTGCAGGCCAAACACGGCATGCGGGAGCCCGGGTGGGAAATGCAAGAGTGTGCCACCCCAGAGGCTCCCAAGAGGTATCGTACCTCTTTGCAGCTAGAGCGGAGTCCCTGAGCGGGGGGAGCAGCAAGCGGCTGCGTACTGTGTGAAAGGCTAGGTGCCTCACCGGACTCAGCCGTCTTAGTGATTTACGAAACGTGGTTAAAAACAATCATATATTCGGGCATAGCCCAATCAATCAATATGTTATAAAAAAAGCAATCTTCAAATATTGAAGCTTCACTTGCAATCACTCGGACACCTTCGCTATTTTGGCACCTTCGGACTGCGATCAGATCAAGGGGAGAAACATGTGCACCACCGACGATCCAAGGATAGCACAGGCGAACCTGTTTCCTTCAACGGACCCGTCATTCCCCAGCAGACGTCCGAATGCAGTCACAAGAAGATCGGAGGTGCTTTGTCCTTGTAGGACGTAGCGAGAAGGCTCCACGGAAGATCATCCACGGACAAAATTTCCGAAGTCAGGTCCGATGCAATCTGACTGCAGTCGACAATCTTGCCTCCTATCAGCTTTGCCGCCTCAGCGCATTCTCCCCTGCTAGGGAGATCAGCGATATTGCTCGCAGAAGGAACACGCTCCAGCCATGAAATGACTCCGTCATGAGACTCACTGGCGTAAAAGGAGCAGGCCAAGGAGAGGAGGGTTCGGCTCGGACTGCTCGCCTTAATGCATACATAGCGCGCCGCATCATTGTCGACATAGAACACGCATCTGCGGCACTGCAGGTGGTCCTTGAAAGCTCTCCTTGCCAGAACCAAAGCAAAGGCCTCGGCCTGTGAAATGACTTGTTCAACTCCTTCATCAAGCCAAAACTGCAC